CAGTAATTCGTAAAAGCTGCTGAAAACGTACCGGTTTCTTTGAGTTTTTAAATCTGACCACGAAATAATGAATGCCGAATTCTGGAAGGGTCTGCCACGCCCTGATGTACTGCAGCTTGGCATCCGTTAGTGACAAGTCGTTGATGTTGTGGTGCGCCTCGACGATACGCTGGATCATAGTCTGTTTCGACCTGACCTTCTTCGTGTACCGCAGTGGCAAGAAGTCGTTAGGGTTGAAGTCCATTGGGGGTACGGAGACCCGCGGAACTACCCCTGAATCCGGGTTCAACGAAGGGTGCTGCATGTCCAGCAGGCGGCGAATGGTCTCTACCTCGATCTCAAAGCTTGAGTCAGCCATCGTCTTGCCTTTTGCAGCCAGTTTACACGCAGCCAACCATCTTGCGTATTGTTGTTCCTGAAAATCAGTCATTTGCACAACAGGGAAGAAAAATGGATAATCTGGATACCGTATCGCAACGAAGCCAGAATTCGCTCATTCCTCCAGCAGACGGAATGAGCAGTTTAATGCAGTACTTGTTCTCGGCAAGATTCACTTCGTGACTGACCTCACAACCCTTCAGTCCAAACTGGCCAAGGTATTCAGTATGGCTTTCTGAGGCTGATGGGTACCAAGTGATTGACAGATCCCGGAAGGTGAAAAAGGCCCGACGCCAATTTTTGAGACTGAGCTTCTTTGGCCTTAACGAAACGTGATGCAATATATAATGATGTTGCATCTTTAGATAGATAATTATTTTGTTCATGCAGAGATTAATAAAAACAAAATAAACAACAAAACAAAAATGATTTTATCGTACCTAACAAACACGTTCGTCCATGAAATGATAGACCGATATCAATAATTTCGGCATTTCCTCCGTCACTTTTAACAGAAAAACTAATTCCAAGAGGCGTCGAATAATCATGCAGTCGAGTAAAAATAACCTAAAGATATCTAGCGTTTTCTTGACAGCAGTAGAAAACTGCTGAAAGGTCTCAATATGATTATTTGCTGACTCTGGCATTTAATATATGGAGGAGATGTTCCTGTGTCTTAACTTCTTTAGCTTTAGTTTTTCTAAGTATTGATATACCGAGTGATTCTGCGTACTTCCGGATAGCCTTCTTCACAGAATAGACTGTCCATGAAAATCTAGGAGTTCAGCGAATTGTCATTTCCAGGAAACGCCAGTGCATCATGCCGACAGGCGCTGATGGCAGAAAATTTTCATCCGCTAAGTCATGTAACCTGTCTTTAAACACAGGGCACGCAATTTAAGTACTTTTTCTAAAATTACATTGCATCTGAGCAATAAAAATTATGAAAATAAAAAGCCAGACAAGCAAACAGCTGTCTCTCAATATCTAATATAACCAGATGGCGAGCGGACGGTACTCTGAAAAGTGTAATAAAGAATGCAACAGAAACGCCTCTTAAGTGAACGGTTTCATTTCAAGACCAAACATTTTTTTGCCCTGATCTTGGATAACGTCGTTGTCATGTGAAACGTAGACCCTTTCGATATTCGTCGTGCCTACGACTACTGAATTTATCTTTCATCCGACTTGTCATCATTTGTTAGCTATCACAAAGGCAAATCGACGCTCCCTCGATTTTGCAGTTCTTTAATCCCTGTCTACATA